GAAACTATAAAGAGAAAAAACTAAATTAAATCCTTGGGAGAAACAATCCTAATGGAAAAGACCATCCTTTTCACAAGTGAAAGCTATAGATCTTCTTGGCATCACAAACATGTTTTCAGTGGTTTTTCAAGAAGGAAATATTTTGACCAAAAAATCAAACTGGGATAAGTATAACCAACAGAGCTATAGAATTCTAAGAGCACTCTATAACTTGAGTTATATGTTTCTGTTTCATTATCTGATTTTTCAGAAGGCAAGGTAGTTAAATTTGTATGATTAGAACACAGGAAGTCTGGGTCTTCCTGGTGGCAGAAGAGGTTAAACCCAACACTATGAATCTATGTACAGCCACTGCAGCATGAGTTTGACTTCCAGCCAGGGAGGTGACCCAAATGGCACAGCAGACCTCTCCCGTCTCATCAGCTGCTCTCCTCAGTTGTGTATTTCAGTCAATTGGCCTGTTCTGCTCCCCACTCTGTCTCTGATGAATCCTCTTACTTCCCTCCCACACCTGTGGCCTCTACCCACGTTCTTATATGAATAAAAAAAAAAAAACCTGTCACTGGCCCTCCCTGGTGGTGCAGGGTTAAAGCACAGCAAGAAGAAGCTAAAGCCACTCCAGCATGAGTTTGATCCCCAGCTCTGGAGGTGACCCATGTGGCGTGACAGACCTCTCCTGACCCGCCCACTGCTCCCCTCAGCAGTGTACTTCATTAGTCAGCCTGTTCTGTTTCCCACTCTGTCTCTGGGGAATCCTCTAACCAACCCTGCACCTCTGGCCTATACCCCAGGTCTGTATGCATAAACAAATAAATATTTTAAAAAATAATAAATCTATTACCAATACCTAACTATTCATAAACCCATAGCTAAGAATGAGGTCTCCAAGTCTCTGTTCCTTCATTGCAGCTAATGTGTACACATGTTATAGTGTCTCTTTTTATAAAGGGCATGATTATTTTAACTTCTTTGCATGATTTAAACTAATTTTTTAAATCACTATTCTACAAAAACTATTTTCAGGTGACTCTAATGTGCAGTCACCTGGAAACCAGTGGGTTAACGTAGTCATTCTCTAAGTGTGATCCCTGGCCAATAACAACATTATCTGAGAACTTTCAGACATGTTTAAAATGCTGTATTATTTTCTGAAACATTTGAAGTATTTTTTTTGAAACAAATGCTTCTACCAGCTAAACCAGAAACCGTGTTGTTAAATTCACACAACCTAAATTATTATTTTCTCTAAGATCCAATATTCAAAGGTGAAAACAGAAAAAAAAAAAAACTTAGCTTACATCATTCAGTAATGGTAAGGTAAAATAATACAAAATTCTTAAGCACTTACTATGAGTGGGCACCACTAAGTAACTTTGTAAATGTAAAGTCATTATTCTTTACAACAAGCCTGCTGATTAGTTTCTATTACTCTTTTTATTATGAGGAAATAGAAGCATAAAGGATTTTAAATAACTACTTAGTAGCAGAGTCTTGATTCAGAGTTTTGAGATGGAGAAAATTGGTGATCTAGGCCTCCATGACTAATTCTCTTTGAGTGAGACTAACAGAACATCTGTCAGAAATACATTTCATCTGCATTTCTTTTAAGAATTATAATGAATCATACTGAAAATGTATTATTTTATACTGATAAGTAGAATCCAGAGATGTTAAATACAAAATACAAATATGTGTGCATTTCCAGTGAACCAAAACTCTTAGGATTTCACTCCTAACAGTTTCAAGCTTACCTTTAATAGTTACTAGCTTTAATAGTTTGTGAATAAATGTGAACCTAAATGAATGCCAGGTAACTTTCACCAAAATCTTTCTAAGAGTCAAGTGATGCAAATCACTTGTATAATGTATAGTATAATGAAGCATAATGAAGCTAAATTCTTTATGATTATCTCTGCTGCAAGCTTTATGCCACTAAGTGGAAAATTAAGAAGTCATGGGCCATTACAATATTGATCATTCCTAATTGGTCACTCTCCGCTAGCAATGCTACCACATCTTGTCACTGTGCATTGGGACATCCTCTCTTGCTCTTCTGTTAAATTACCCAGAACACATCATTTGATTACTGAGCACTTGAATGTGCTTCCACATGCCTTTGCTTTTCCCATCAAGAGTTGTGTCCCTGATCTTCCCTTTCATTCCCACAGCTACTCCTCATTTCAAACAGTGAGCCAAACAGAAAACCCCACTTGTATTAAATTGTAATTATATTCAATCTATTAACATTCGGATTACATTCAACTTAATAGTATTAGATTGTAATTTCAAAAGTATGCAAATGAAGATCTGATTTCCTGAATGAAGGAGTTCCTAAAATGCTTATATGCTGAAACTTAGTGTTTAGTTTTCCAGATGTCACATAAGATTGGTAATATGGTATAAACTCTTGCATTTAAAAATGCACTAAGAATCATAAAAAAGCACTCCAAGTTAGACATCTAACACTATTTATCACTGAAATTAAAGGAGACTCAAGAATAATTTCAAAGTAATTAAATCATCTGGCATCCTTTTGGAATTAATTCCACAAATACTTTCTCACTTAGGACTATTTGGTCTTAAAAGGATCATCCAGATCAGCTTCAATCAAATAATGTGAAAGAAATCACTTTTTGTATATGTGGCTTGAAATTATTGCAGTTAAGGAGGAAAATGACTCAAATCACCTCACTACTATTTTTTTTTTCTTAACCAATGTAGGCCTGTTCTTCCTTGTGCTCACTCTGCATTCACAGTACTGAACAAACCCTGATATAACTGAATAATTTTTTATTTTATTCTCTCTCTTCAGAACCTAAGAAACACTAACAGCTTTAAAATGGGTCACATTATGTCACTTTGGAGGCCCTATTATGTCACTTTGAAGTGCTTTCTTACCATTTGAATTTTCTTTTGCAAGGATGATGTTCTGGAGAGCCATATTGTAAGGGTATTAAAATATGAATGCTAACAAAGTATAAGGTCTACCAGATGATGAAATCCTTTATTATATAGAGGGATAAAGTAAAAGCTAGGCTGTCTGTCCAAAGCTAATTCACTTTAATTTTTTTCTAGACAATTTTACATATAATAATGCAATAAATTATGAAAATAATTTGAAGATGTCTATATATTCACATTCTGATAAAAAGGAAACGCTAAATTCTCAAGGTATATCTGGCATATAGGTAGTAAATTTTAGCATGCTATCTACAAGGTTTATCTACAAGTTGATGTGTGTACACACGTCTATATTTTATGCTAACAAATATGCTAGACACTTCAGTGGCTTTATTTCACTTAACTCTGACAACAATGTGAAGGAATAAGCACTGTTACTACTACAGTCTCCATTTTACAGATGACAGAGAGTCTCAGAGAAGTCATACAACTCTCTCAGAGAAGCAGGCTCTGAACTAAGATTTGCCTCAGACCAAATCTCTTTACCATTCCTATTTCCCCCAGTTCTCTTAACATGAGCTTAATATCTGTCCTTAAGAAGTCTATACCCCTCAATCATGAGTTGGCATAACAAAAACAGCTTGGAAAACAAACAATTCCCTGTACAGAAAGTCTTGGTATATACAGTGAACTCTGCATGCACCACAGCACACATGTGCTAGACTGAGTCATGCCTAGTCTAACTTTTTTATCCAAAGTCAAATTTTTTAATCCACTTAAGCCCATTTGCAAAGTTCTTCTATTTCTGTGCTAATGACTTAGAAACAGCTGGAATATTTTTAGCCAAAGTTTGGAAATCTCAGATCTCTGTAAAAGAAAAAAGGAAACCACCTCAGAGCATCCAGAGATCAGTAATACTGAGTTTTATTTCACTCTTGAGAATTGGTATGAATCCCTTAAATCTTCTATTGCTTAAAATAATAAAATATTGCATGAGTTCTATAATTTGCACTGATAACAAGAACAATCTGGGATCATCTCATTGGGGAACAAAGATTTTTGTTATTATAGCAAAAAACTCATACATTTCTTCTTTGACTACATTTCAACTTTAAAAAATCCCTAATCTTTTCTAAAACAAGTACATATGTTATGCTATATAGAAATTGCTCAAGATGATAGCTAAGTCCATAGTATGTTTCTGAAGTTAGTAAAACCGTACTGATGATTACCTAAAATTTTCTAGAAAATGGTTTTCTCCTCCACTTGTGGAGGGTAATTAGCAGGTGTTTGCCCTTCTCACCTTCACTGATCCCAGCCCAAGAGTTCTCCAACTTGAGATCACCTGGAGGGCTCATTAAAACACAGATGGCCCCAATCAGGTCCCAGAGTTTCAGAATCCAGGGTAGTAGGTATATGGTGAAAACCCCAGCCCTAAACATGGCATTTATAAAAATTCCCAGGAGAATGCTGCTGACCAGAGATTACATTTAGGAAACACTGCTCCAACTAGCTGGTTGTCAAACTACTGCACTTGGAAATCACCTGTGAACAGGTTTTAATTGTAATTGTTTTTTGTTGTTGTTGTTTTTTAATGAAGATACCCAAGGTCCCATTCTAGAGATTCTGATTTAATTAGCCTGGGGTGCTGCTCAAACAATGAATTTTGTAAAGTTCTGTAGTGTTTTAGCTGTGTAGCAACTTAAGGAAGATCTGGTCTTCGCACCGCCCAAGGTGGGGGGAAGTGCAGGGTACTGGACAAGGGTTCACACGCCCCAGCAAGGCTTATATGAATGCCGCAGACCCTTTCAAGAAGATAAAGATAGACAATGATGAGCCTAGAAGAACAGATCACTATTCACTATTGATTCTCATAGGACCAGTGCCCAGAGACCCCTCAACACCCATTAACACTGAGTTGGCAAGAAAAGCCCTGACAATCCAGATTTGAGTCTAGGAATGGAGTTAATCTCAGGGGGGTCACCAACTGCCTCTACGCCGGGAGAAACTACACGCTCAGGTCACCCAAAATGCCAAAGTCCCGAAGTCCCCCGTTTGTCATTCTGGGAGAGAGAAAGAAGAAAGCGCTGTCACCTTACCTGGAGAAGCGTCCAGAGTTTGGTTTGCCGTTAGAGCCCGCTGAATGATTCCCCAGTGATAAGGGGGATGTCCCTGCAAATGACAAGCCTCAACCTGGACAAAAACTGGCTGAAGCGGTTTGCTGCCCGACACCCAGAGTCCGGCCGCCCTGCAGAAGTGCAGAGCGCCGCAGCGCCGCCACTCGCTCTCAGCCCCTGGAGGCGGAGCCCGAGAGATAAGGTCCGCGCTCCCCACCCGCCCCCTTCCCCGAGCGAGGAGCGGAGGGTGGGTTTTGGATCTGGATTTCAAAATGCGAGTTGCTAGTGGAAACTGGCTCCGTTCAAATCCTGCTAAGAAGAAAATGCACGACTGGGAGAGGTGAAATGGCGGGACTTAATTCCGGCCAGCAGGAAAATAAGGCTGAAAGGGTAAGAATTAAAGGAGGCAAGGACTTGTACTGCACCCCTGCAGTGCTTAGGAAGCCTTCCTTCACCTGTGAGAATGATCCTCTGGCCCTTTTTGGGAGCTAGTTTCGGGCACTCTGGTTAGTCCAACAGCTGATGGATTTGCTTTTGATATAAGGTAACAGCTGATGGAAAACTAGCCGGGAGTTCACTTTCAGAAAGATAAGAAGTTATCTTTAAAGATTTGGGAATTAAAGGGAACTTCTAGAATAAAGCCACTGTTTCATGAAAATAAAAGTATTCCTTGTACTCTACCCCTTTTAATTCATTTACCACAAAACAACCAAAAAGTTGTTTAACACCGATGCACTCAAAACCAGTGTGTGCTCTGCCACTGACCCACTCCTGCCTCATATCTCTCTCCCTTTCTTCACCTCCTACCCCACAGTATGGTCTGCTTGACCTTCCACTTACAAAATCAGTGTGTTCTCTTCGACCTGTAATTTCATCTGCCTCCAAATCTGCCACAGACGTTATTATAGTTGCCTGCTTTTCCTCATTGAGGTCCCAGATACCACTTCCAGATAATCCTTCCTGCACAACCCATTCAAATGGACCCCCACAACCATCCCATTCCCCTCATCCCATTTAACTGTCAACAGATTATTAGTGAGCGAAATGAGAAGTAACCCAAGACCTCTAAATGTGCATGCTCTAAAGAGTTTCTGCCATCCACCATGTAAAGATAAAGCATACTCTCAGTTTGAAAGAGTTTTGAAAGGATGATGTACATAGAGAGAAAGAAAAAGAAAGGGTAATCATTTCCCAATGAAACCCCAGTATAACCCCCTCCCCTTGTGGGTATATGCCTGGCTAAACAGTTTGATCCAAAGAGAGAAGACTGAGGCCTGAAAAGTTGCTATAAGTCTAAGGAACCTTCTAGCAAGGATCCACAGGAAAGGAGCAGAAAGGGCCAGGCAAGTCTGGGATAAAAAGAACAAAATCAGAGTACACATCAAAAGTAATGTCTGTCATTGTCAGAAATGCCCACATGTCTCTCACCCACATGTCTTCCAAGTGGCTCTACATGTTTCAACTCCACATGTCTCCTTCCATATCCCCCAAAGTTCCTGGTACAAGTCCAAAGCAGAGAAGTAAGGGCACCCTCTTGTCTGTTTGATATGTCTCCTTCTCCAAGTCTTTTTCTTACCACTCAGCTCCACCCTTCACTAGGTAGAACAGGGAACACAAAACCTTCTGGTTTTCATGGAAATTACACTTTTGTAAGATCACATCACTTTCTGAAATTTTGCATTGTTCATGTGTTTTGCATCTCTCCGAAGGTAAGCTTTAGGACAGAAAATTAGCCTTCTCAGCTTTTTCATCTACATCTATAACAAGGCCTTAAACATAGTTGGTGCTCAATAAATATTAACTGAATGGATATGTGAACTAATTTCTCCACATGGGAAAACCTTTACAAAAAAAGATTTCCTTCACCAGTTGAATCCTACTAAATTCCTGTCAGATATATACATCTTCTTGGGATGGTCATCATTTTTTCATCATTAGTAAGTTCAAAATGTACTCCATAATTATGCATACACCTTTCTTCATGGTTCATATAGGTGAACATATAATAAATTTCCAATATCAAGTAATGAATAGTAATTTCCTAATAGTACTTTTATTAATCAAGAGACTCTATTATCCCATCAGCAATAAACTCTTCTACTTTCAGAGAAACTGAAGATTGCCACAACCAAATCTACACACAAGTGTTACTGTTTCCCATCCATTAAAATAGAAAAGGATTCTCTCCTTTTCTGCCCTGAGTCCCACCTCTTTCTGTTGCCTCAGGGACCAGACTTTATGACGGTTCCATTTCTTTTCTTATATTTGACATTTTACTCTTAAATAACCTATTTAAATGTTCTATACTCACCTATCCCAGCTCAAACTGGTGTCCTTATGGAATTGCAGCAACGAAATTGCTCAGGAATCTCCTGCAATGGATCAGGGGCCCTTTATTAGATCTTGATTCAGGATGCTGGTGACAGAGCCTGAAGATCCAACGTTTACAGAAGCTCTGCCATTGCCCAGGAGATCATACTGCACACTTACTGTTAAGAACTATTGTAAAGGCTACATGTTCAGTTCTTTTAATTCTTAATTCCACATTATTTTTTATTTTGTTTAAAGATTTATTTATTTATTCATACAGAACTGGGGTACAGACCAGAGATGCGGAGGGTGAGAGAATTCACCAGAGACAGAGCAGGGTACAGAACAGGCAGATCGCGAAGTACACTGCTGAGGGGAGCAGCGGGCAGGCCAGGAGAGGTCTGCCACGCCATGTGGTCACCTCCCTGGCAGGCGGGGATCGAACTCATGGGGAAGTGGATTAAGCTTCTTTGTGCTGTGCCTTAACCCGCTGCGTCACCAGGGAGGGCCAATTCCACATTTTTTAAAACTAATTGGCTCCTACCCTATCATTCTTAAAATATTTTCACACTTTGCTCTTTTTGATTGTTAACCTGTCTCTGCTGCAGGATCCTCTCTGTTCATCTCTATGATGCAGTGAAACAAGAAGAGATCTCTCTTCCTATACCATCAGCTAGGCATTCTTATCTTTTGCATTTAACAATTTTGTCTTTTTGCATTCTAAGAAAAAGAAAGAATATCCCTAAATGGTAATAAAGTTAGGCATCAGTTGTTAAAGCTGGCTTCCACCCAAAACTGCATCCTATGGACAAACTCATCCTTCCCATCTCTCTTTTGTTTGACTCCTTCATATCAATAACCCTGCACTCTGCCAACGAGGTCAGTGGTCTTTCAGACAGGAGTCAGCTGCCCTTCTTAGTTTGTCGACAAATTAAACTACATTCCTTCTCAAACTCTGTTTCCTTATATTGGCTGGGGGAAGTGAGGCTGGTGTTCTGCATCATCTAAGTGCCTATACCCAAGACTCATCATTTCCCTGTGAATTCTTAAGCCACGTTACCCATTTCCATAGCTTCATTAATAGATGGGCTTCTCAATTGAGGTTTTCTTTTTGATGTTCAGGAGTCTATTGATCCCTGTAATTTCTGTTGAGTATTTTGTGTTAAGTAAATGCTCATTTTTCCAGGGAGAAGTTCCACAATTTCTTAGATTCTCAAAAGATGACACGAATCCCACATCTATCTCTCCAGCCTACGTCTCTTTGTCTAACTTTCAGCCTGTATCCCAATTGTCTACAAAATATCTTCGCTTGTATGAAGGAAAGGCACCTTGAGCAAAAAACAGTTCAAAGATGAGTTATCTTTCTTTCCCTCTTCAAAAAACAAGCAAACAACAACAAAAAGCCTATGTCTCAGCTCTGCTCTCCCTATGTTTCCCAAAGAAACTGCCATTCATCCTATTGCTTAAGACAAGATATTGACAGTCTTCACTCTAAAGTAATCCTATAGAATTGAAAACTTAACCATGATGATGGTGAAAAAGTTAAGAGTGGCCACCTAAAAATATACAGGTTTCTCTATTCTAAAATTTCTATAAAAGGAATACTTCAGGGCCCTCGCTGGTGGCTTAGCAGATTAAAACACAGCACTAAGAAGCTAAAGCCACTTCAGCATGAGTTCGATTCCCACCCCAGAGGTGACCCACATGGCACGGCAGACCTCTCTTGACCTGCCCGCTGCTCCCCTTAGCTTGTACTTCGTTGATCTGCCTGTTCTGCTCCCCACTCGGACTCTGGTGAATCCCCTCACTGCCCCTGCACCTCTGGCATGTATCCCAGCTCTGTATGCATAAATAAATATATCCTAAAAAAAAAAAAGAAATGCTTCAGCTCCCAATTCATTGGCTCCTTGCTTCTTTATGAGCTGTCTGTAAAGTTCTTTAACCAACCCCCAATGAAATTCAAGCAATTGTAGAACTGATACAGCAAATGGGCTCTCAGATAAGCATTTGCAGATTTGCCTTCTTTAACAAATTTATGACAGAATTGGTTTTCCCAGAGCTCTTAATTGATTGTGAGTTTGTTCTCCTTGCAGTTCCTCTTCCTTGACAGGTTTAGGTTCAAGGAATGGAATCCCAAACAAAAGCAAATGGTGGGAAAGCTTGCTGACTCCGACTTCTCTTCCTCCCTGTGCTGGCCCACTCTGCCCCCTCCCCATTACTCTTGCTGATTCCCCATTTTTGTTTGTCTTTGTGTAAATAAAGGCTGGTGCCCACTGGTCTCCATCCCAGCACTAACTTTTACCCCCGCCCCTTTGCGGACATTCGCCCACCTCCCCTTTTCTTTGTTGAACATTGTTTAAATAGCCCTGCAACTTGCCAAAGAGGAGGACGGTGGTCTTTTGGACATGAGTCTGGTGCCCTCCTCATTTGTTAAATAAAACCACTTTCCTTTTCCTCAAACTCTGTTTCCTTTTATTGGCTGAGGGAAACTGAGACTGGCGTTTGGTAACAGAACCACCAAAGAAAATCACTTCTACTGTCTCCATTGGCAACTTATTAAAGTCCCATAAGTCTCCCCTACCTGCCCCCCAAAATAAACCTAACCTTCGTCTAATTAAAACTCTAAAAATAAGCTCTATACTCATTAACATGTCTCCAAGGTTCTTAGCCCTCCATCCTCAAAACTTCCAGATCCTCTCACCCTCATCTTCTAGTCACAAGCCATACTGAACTTCTGCTGCTTCAAGCCCCCCAAAGCCAGAATTCCAACC